TGCCCTTCTCTGGACACGCTCCAGCAACTCAATGTCTTTCTTGCAGTGAGGGGCCAAAACTGAACACAGAACTCAGCCTCACCAGTGCTGAGTGCAGGGGGATGAGGATGATAGCTTCCCTAGTCCTACTGGCCACACTACTTCTGACACAGGCCAGGATTCTATTTGCCTTCTTGCCCACCTGGCCACACTGCTGGCTCGTATTCAGATAGCTGTCAACCTATCTGAATATGAGGTCGATCCCCGGGTTCTTTTCCACTGGGCAGCTCTCCAGCCACTCTTCCCCAAGCCTGTGGTGTGTCTGTCCTTGCAGGCTTCTGGGGAGAAAGTTCGAACAACTGAGACACAAGTGCTGGTGGCTACACCTCAAAAACACTTCCTGGCTGCGAGACTGAAGCTCATCTCCGAGCTGTGGGACGCAGGGATCAAGGTAAAGCAAAGATGTGGGCTTGGCACTGGTATGGGTGAGGGAGGGAGACGACTCTGAAGGGAGATGAAACACGGCAAGATCAACTCCAGTAGTTGTGTCTCTTCAAGATATGAGTCTGTCTGAGATCTATAAGACAGAGGAGAACAGCAAAGAGCACTAAAGGCAACAGCTTGCTGCAGGAGTAATGAGAAAGAGTTTTCCGTGGAGTTTTTTTGCTGGCTGTTTTGCTCCAAGATCAATCAGAGCAAATTTAGTGTTAATGATTCGCCTTGTCTGTTCCCTCTCAGGCAGAGATGCTGTACAAGAAGGATCCGAAACTGCTGAAGCAGCTGCAGTATTGTGAGGACACGGGGATCCCCCTTGCTGCCATTGTGGGGGAGCAAGAGCTGACAGATGGAGTTGTCAAGCTGCGAGATGTCGCAACAAGAGAGGAGGTAAGAATGCCTTCTTACACGGGGTTTCAGAAGTGCTGCCACAATCTAGTGATTACCTCAAGGCTCTGGGTTTTCCCTCAGTGATGGTGTTCCTTTGGCGAGCTGTAGCACAGATCTCTTCGGTAACTGCTCCAGAAAACCAGCACAAACTGCGTTGGTATCTGCAGCAGGTCACAGAATTGCTTAGGTTAGAAAAGCCCTTTAAGAAACCCAACGCTGGGTTAGTCCCTGACTAACCCCTGTCCCTCAGCACTATGTCCACACGACTCTTCAATCCCTCCAGGGATGGGGACTCCACCACTGCCCTGGGCAACCCCTGCCAATGCCTGAGAACCCTTTCAGCAAAGAAATTCTTCCTCACATCCAATCTCAATTTCCCCTGGTGCAGCTTGAGGCCATTTCCTCTTGTCCTGTCACTTGTTACCTGGGAGAAGAGACTGACCCCTGTCTCTGTACACCCTCCTTTCAGGGACTTGTAGAGAGCGACAAGGTCTCCCCTCAGCCTACTAAAAGTCCTTAGGGCTGGATGAAACTGTGCTCTGCTCAGGGTTCCAATGCTGCTGTCTCCTCCTCTCCTTTTGCTTTGTAGGTTGATATCCCAAGAGAAAAGCTTATTGATGAGATCAAAAGAAGGCTGGAGCTCTAAGACTTTTCTGGCCAGAGCTGCTTGACGGAACTGCTGTACAACTGGAACCCTCCATCGCCCTTAGCCATTCCTTTCCCCCTGAAGTCTGGTCAGCATTTACTAGCCTGAGGCTCACGTACCCAGGCTGAGGCCGTGTCAGCACACCTGGTATCTGCTTGAAAAGAGCGAGGGGGTTTTGAAAATTATGGAGAGTGCAGTCACCAGGTCCACCCTCTGGTTCCCTGCTCTGGAGGAGGGTCAAGCTTGTGGGTTCCTAATGTTGCAGTACCTGTGACTGTAGAACCATTTCCCTCCGCTGTGGGTGGTGGTGGTGTGGGCACCGAGGGACGGGGTGGAGCTCAAGCAGGATCAGAGGGGACGTGGGGCACGTTGGGCACCTGCAGGCTCAGGACATGGGGAAATGGTGGCAGTGCAAGGCCACCCCCACCCCTCCGAGGGCTGCTGGCCCCTGCGGCCGGGCTCTACCGTCGGGTGCGGGGCTCGGGGCTTCTGTGGGGGCCCCCTCAGGGCAGGACCCAGCGCGGGGCCGCTGCAGCTGCGCTGGCGGGCGCCGTCAGGCCCGAGGGCGGAGGAGCTCTGTGGTTTTATACAATAAA